CTTGAGTGCCTCTGTGGGTCAGGGTCAGGTGCTGTGCTGTGTGCCTAGGATAGAGGAGGTGGGGCTGGGACAGGTGTGACCTTTGCTCTCACAAAGCTCATATCCTAAGGGTTAGACAGATGATAAATGTGCAAAGAAACCCAATACTTGCAGAGGTGACGAATACTACCAAGGAAAGAAACAAGGTATGTGACAGAGAGTAACTGGAAAGGGCACCAGTCAGCTTTTTTGGGCAGGAAGGTACAGGCAGACTTCTCTGAAGAGCTGAGATGGGCCATGGAGCACAGGGCAGAGGCCAGAGTGTGGCAAATGCAGTGCTAGGACCCAACATTTAAGGAGGGACTCACACACAGGCTTGTGCAAGTGCAAAGTTGGCATTTGCATGACCCTGAGAGTGAGATCCTCTTTAAACTTCGTACTCTAGGCACCTCAGTCACCTTGCTAGGCTAGTCCCAATCCTGATGGGAGCAAATGTAGGAAAGGCATTCCAGGCAGAGGAAACAGCAAGTACAAAAGCCCAGAGGCTGGGGAGGCTTAGGGTATTCTAGGAACAGAAACTTGGTCCCTATGATTGCAACAGAGTGGGAGAAATGCTAATGTAACCAGAGAGTCAGAATCACCAAAGGAAATGAGAAAAAAATCTAACCCCAAGTTTTCAGAGTTGCTCATATTTGATACTTTTTTTTTTTTTTTTGAGACAGAGTCTCACTCTGTTGCCTGGGCTAGAGTGCCGTGGCGTCATCCTAGCTCGCAGCAACCTCAAACTCCTGGGCTCAAGCGATCCTTCTGCCTCAGCCTCCCGAGTAGCTGGGACTACAGGCATGCGCCACCATGCCCGGCTAATTTTTTTTTTTCTATGTATTTTTAGTTGTCCAATTAATTTTTTTTTTTCTAATTTTAGTAGAGACGGGGTCTCGCTCTTGCTCAGGCTGGTTTCGAACTCCTGAACTCAAACAATCCGCCCGCCTTGGCCTCCCAGAGAGCTAGGATTACAGGCGTGAGCCACCGCGCCCGGCCTTGATACATTTTTTAATGTATTCAAGTAGCTTCCAATCCCCCTCCCCGCCGCCCCCCGCTGTGGTTTAGCATTGTCTTGATAATCCATGCATGTTGGGAGGTAGGGTTGGAGAGGCCACGGATAACTTTCAGTGCTTAGGGGCTCCGAAGCAGTGGTTCTTTTTTTTCAATTTTATTTTATTATTTTGTTTTGTTTTGTTTTGTTTTTCACTCCTTTGTAGACCCAAGGAAGGAAGTAGTGGTTCTCAACCTTAGCTACATATCAGAATCCCCTGAGGAAATCTAAAAAATAGTGATTCCTGGGCCTACCCAGAGAGATTCTGATTTAATCAGTCTGGGATGCCGCCTCCGTGGGGGACGCTACTGTGAAGATGAAATTGACAACCACTGCTGGGGTCCTGTTCTGGATGTCAGCTGCTGTGGTTTGCCATGTAGGAGAATCCGCATTTTACAGCCCCTTGTAGGCTTCTAGTAATGATGAATCTGGATTTTATTCTAAGAACGGGAAGCCATTGATGGGTTGTAAGTAGGATGGTGGCGTGATCTGATTTTTATTTTAAGAAAATCACTCTGGCTGTGGTGTGGCAGATTTTCTTAGAATAGATTCCCAGAAGTGGAATTACTGGGAGAAAAGGTATTAATGATTTTAAGTGTTTGGATACACACTATTATTACTTTGGAGGAAGTTTCCTGCCAAATGCCACTCTCCCACCTTCTGTATCCTCACACTATCCCTTTGCCAACACTGTTTTTGAGAGTTAATTGTTTCTATGGAAGAAGTGAAAAAAAAAAAGACAAATAAATTGTTTGGGCAACTGGACGTAACATCTGCCACTACTTTTTTCTCATATTTATTGGTCAAAATACATGCAAATAGCTGTGTCCCTAAGAAAATTGTAGATCTGATTTTTAGTTAACATTTCTGGCTTACTTACTGTGTGGCAGGCACTGTGCAAAGTACTTTATATGCAATATTTCTCTTAATCCTCTCAACATCCTTAAGAAGTCAGTACTGTTATTATCATCTCCATTTTACTGTGAGAGTCAGGAGTTTGCCAACACTTCCTCATCTTGTAAGAGGGAGAGTCAGAATTGGACATTTTTGATTTGCTCTGCTGTTGTTTTATAATTTGAAGAGGTTAAAATGACTCTTGAAATTTTTCTCAGAGATCTAAGTTCTGGTGATTCTGGTGATTCATTTTGGAGTCTGAATAATTGACATCATTTGGTCACTGCACCATTATTGCAATAGACTATTTAAGGAAGTCAAAATGACTAATTGATTACATCAGCCATTTTTGCTTGTGGGGCTGAGGGTCCCAAAGTGAAGGGACATCAACTCAGCTGGCACATAAAAAGTAAAGAATCTGGCTGGGTGCAGTGGCTCATGCCTATAATTCCAGAACTTTGGGAGGCCAAGGCAGGAGGATCTCTTGAGCCCAGGAGTTTGAGATTACAGTGAGCTGTGATTGTGTGTGTCACTGCACTCCAGTCTGGGTGACAGAGCAAGACCTTAACAACAACAGCAACAACAACAAAAGTAAAGAATCTGAGGAAAACAAATCCAAGGAACCTCAGAACTTACAATTAAAAAAAAGCTTTGGGAGAGACGGTATTTCTTTTTTCTTTTTTTTTTTTTAGACAGAGTCTCACTCTCTTGCCTGGGGCGAGTGCCGTGGTGTCACCCTAGCTCACAGCAACCTCAAACTCCTGGGCTTGAGCGATCCTTCTGCCTCAGCCTCCCAGCTAATTTTTTTTTTCTATTTTTAGTTGTTTGGCCAATTTCTTTCTATTTTTAGTAGAGACGGGGTCTCGCTCTTGCTCAGGCTGGTCTCCAACTCCTGAGCTCAGAACGATCCGCCCGCCTTGGCCTCCCAGAGTGCTAGGATTACAGGCGTGAACCACCGCGCCTGGTCAGAGAGAGGGCATTTCTAGTCGGATTGAAAGACAAGCTTGCAAGGTGGTGGGAGGGGGAGATTGGATAAACAAATATTTCAGTCATTTCTTGTAATAGATCCAGCTCCCTCACCCCTACTTTCTGGGTTCCTTGAGGGCAGGAATTGTGTGTGGATGACTGACCTGTCCCTAGATGTTTAGTTGGTAGGAGCTCAGTAAATTTCTCGGAATGAAAGAATAAATCATGATTAGGTTGTATGTTAAAAACACACATGAGGACAATGTATTCATATTGCTTACATAATTAAACATTAATTACAAACAAAACCAAAAAATACTTTGTTGTATGAATAACAGTCTCCCAGAAAGGACCATACTGAGTGAGGGGACCCTCATCTTGGGATTTAACTCAAGGACATTTTCTCTTCATAAGAGAACGGGATGAGGGAACAATAAACAGGGAGGAAAGGACATCTCTTGCAGGTCCTCTTTTACAACTGGTCGTGCTCTTTCTTTTATCTTCCCCTCACAAACAGGGAGGTGGGCAAGTGTGAGGGTACCTAGTGCAAATTTCGGGATGGAGTGTGTGCACATGAGATACAGCCCTCTCCTCTCAATACATCCATTCAGCTTTATTGAATTTATTTTTTACATAGGTGTGTGACCATGCTGGGGTCTGACCAACTCTTGGTGAGAATTTCACTGTTGTGTCAAACATCCGCACCAGTTCAGAGAGGAAGTTTCTTTCTCCCTGAGTTGGGTGGGGAGGAAGGGAGGATGAAGAAAGTTCATTTGAATTTCTGACTTTCCATCCTTTAGAACTGGCAGATTGCTCTCTAGTGAGGGATGGGTGGGCTTAAGCAAGGAGCCCAAGGTTGAAGGAGTATAGTGTGTGGAGATATCAACTCCTCACAATCTTAAAGTACTTTTGGTAACAATTTTTAATTACATAAGAGACATATACTTTCTCCTTGCAACGTAAAATGATAGGTTAAGCAGATAAGGTTAAGTCCCTTGTTTGATGTGCGTCTCGCCCACCTTTAAAAAATGTATCCGTATCCATGTTATGTATCAGATGCTTTAGTGAATTCTTTTGGGTAGTGAGAGTGTCTGGGGGAGATAGATAGTGCTCAGGTTTCCTTCCTAGCCAGCTTTCTGCCGGAGAAGGTGAGCAAGTGTCGGGGGAGACGATTTCAAAGCACATTTCCCGTAGCAGGGGACGGGTTGGTAGTCGCGGGTCCGCCCCTTCCTCCCGCTATGTAGTTTTTTGCAATGTGAAGAAATGGTCAAGGTGTCAGAACTCCGTGGGTACATTTCAGGTGGGGGCTGGGAAGGTGCATAGACACCTCAGCTCGATCTTACTATTTTCACTTTTTACCGTGGACGGTGGGAAGGTGGGCGCACGTGAGCGCCGAGGGCACGCCTGTGTGCGCGCGCACCCCAGAGCACCAGCCCTCCTCTTCCAGATCCTCGATTGGACGCCGGTTTACACCTGACTGCCCGGCCCTCGGAGCTCAGATGTTCTCCTGAGGGTATTTGGGAGGGGTGTGTGTGGGGGCGGTGGTTGAGATTCCCCGTCCGAGGATTCCCCGCGGGTGTGACCCGACCCCGCGCCGTCCGCTGAAAGTGGCCGCGAGCCCGGGGAGCATAAGAAGGCGGCCCCGCCCCTCCGTCTAGGCCCCGCCCCTCTCCCCAGGCCCGGCGGGCGCCCGCACGTCCTCTCCCTCCCAGCATGCCGTGCGGCAGCGGCGGCGCGGCGGGCGGAGCCGGGAGGCGGGGAAGCCGTGGCCGTGTGAGCTTGAGGAGCCGCCGCCACCGCCTCCTCCTCGCCGTCCTCGTCCTCCTGGGCCCCGGCGTCGCGGGCTGCGCACGGCACTGGAAGAGACGTCGCCTCCCCTTCCTCCGCCTCCTTCTCGCGGCGCAGCTCCCGCCTCCTCGTCCTGCGCTGCGGGCTCAGGCGGAACCCGGAACGGCCGTCCGCCTCCCCCGCCCTCCGCCGCCTCCTCCTCCTCCTCCTCCTCCTCCTCGGCTTCCTTCTCAGCCCCGGGCCGGAGCGGGGTGTCGGCGGCGGCCGGTTCGGGCGGCGACTCGCGCTTCTTCGGGCGGCGGCGCTTGGCCATGTCGTGTCGGGGAAGGTAATGAGCCGCAGAGCCCCGGGGTCTCGGCTGAGCAGCGGCGGCGGCGGCGGCACCAAGTATCCGCGGAGCTGGAATGACTGGCAACCCAGGTGGGTGACCGGCGCCGAGCCCGCCGCCCCGACCTCCCGGGCCCCACCTCGGGCGAGCCGAGGCCTAGGGCCTCCTGGCTGGGAGGCGCGGCCTAGGCCCTCCACCCCTCGGGAACCGGGCGCGGCTTCCTGGGTCTACTCCCGCCCGCCCGTGCTGGGGGAGGAAGGCTGCTGGGAGGCGAGGCCTAAGTGCCTCCCCCTCCCTGCATTTCAGCCCCGGGGCTGGAGCCGAGACCCTGGGCGCCAGGCGGAGCCACTGGCCTAGGGGTTGGGTCAAGGAGGGTGAAGAAAGCATCTGGGGTTGGGGGAACATTCAAGTTACCACCTCTCCCCAAGTTGAGATTTGAATTGGGGGATCCTTAGAGTCCCGGACCCTCCCTGTTAACCATTCACTTCCTCTGTACCTCACCCTTTCAGCCGCCACGTGAAAGACCTTAACTGTGTTCCCTTCTGTGACCCCCCCCCACGTGTTAATATTAAAAAAAAAAACAACTCTCCAATTAAGGCCTTACTCTTGACTTCAGGCAGGACATTAGTGGAACTGAGATGAGATTGTGTGACTGTTAATGGGATCGACCCTCTCTGATCTTGGGAAATTAAGTTTTCCCCAAGTGCAGGGGCAGTTACTCTGATGAACAGCAATTCATACCTGGACACTTGAGAGTGAACTCCTTGGGCTTTTACTTATAAGAGTAGAGAATTACCTCTTGTATGGGGGATTTCATCTCAGACTGGTTTGGGGCCTAGTTGGATTTGAATGTATTAGGAACATTAACTTTTTATATAAATTAAGTTTTCTTGTCTTTTTGATTAATTTTGGTACAGTTGTTCCTAATTTAGGACTGATTCATTATTCTCTTACTAAATAACTACTTGTAGTATTCAGAGACTATTTGGAACTTAACCCAGTGCCTAGAACAACTCCCTAAATGTATGCAAATATATTTTAGTGTTGATTGAGTCACTGAGCTTTCATCTACTTTAGAGCACGCTTGCATTATAATTGTCCAGAAATTGGCCAAGTAAATGTAAAATGCACATGTCGTTGGGATGCCTTTTTGCTTTCTGATAGTTACTTACATGTAATTCCAGCAGTGTTTGGAAATTAACAATTTGGTAAGATGTTAGATGTAACATTTTATTAAGACGGTAGAAAAATCAGGAAAATAATCTTTGGCTAACGTGGCACACCTCTTGCTCTGTTTAATATGCTTTCTCAAGTACTGTGTCTGTTGAGAACTGATGTATTTAACTAGGTGACTTTCAAAATTAATGCCTGAGTCTAGAATTGAGATGTTAAGTAGTAAAAAAAAAAAATTGTTTGGAAAACAGCTTCCACTTGCTCTGTACCAGTTACTGTTTGTGAGTTAGAGTGCTTTAAATAAAATTAGTTGACTACTTTGTGTGTTTTTTTCTGTAATGACATGCGTAGTTGTTTGCCTTTTTATGAGATGTATGAAATTAGATTTTGTTTTTTTGACATCTAAAAAATTAGGTGGTAAATGAACTTGAATATGACATTTTAGAGCTTTTCCTTAATAATGGATCTTCCATTGTTTTTTTGTATGGTGATTAGTATAAGTACATAGGAGAGAATTTAGTAACCTTTTAGAGGACTAAAGTGCCCTTCCTAAATAGTCCAGAGCTTTTGGAAAAGAATAAATTGTAGCTTGTAGTTCTAAATAAACTACTGAATAAATGGAGTAGAAGAGTTGCAGCCACGTGCTGGGGTCACCTGACTTCATTGCTGACAGGTCTGAAGTCACATGGCTTATGTGGTTATGGAATATGTATATGAGCTATTAATAAATATCCATGTTTCTTTCAAGTGCTTTATTTCTTGGCTTTGGGGGAGGAGAAGGGGAGGAGAATGTAAGCTCTCTTTGAAACTGTGCTGTGCAACAAAGTTGCAGAACCTAATGCCTGGGTAGATGATACTGTGTGGTGCATTTGGTTACATGGAGTAACAGGATGTTGGAAATACTTGATTTTCTCCTGATGTAGAGGGACAGAGAAGTATGGACATACTCTATAGCATAACTTGATTTCTTTGCAAGATTGCCATAGTGGATTTGTTAACAGCCAATAAAAAGCGTCAGATGTTTGTCAAGTCATAAATTTTCATAAGTTAAAGTTGAGGCTTTATTCTGTCTCCTCTTCAGAAGGATGACAGACTCCAGATAACTGATAGAATGGAGCTTGACCTTCCTTCTTGCTTAAATGAAGGTCTAAAACATCTTCAAATGCAGTCAGACTCTTTATGGTTCATCTGAATCATTTTGATCTTAAAAAAAATTGTTTGCCTTTTATGTACCATTTCTTCCCTGGTTTTTTTTTTGGGGGGGGGTTCTCTTTTCCTTGATTTAGGCATTTGACAACGTAGGATTTGAAGAAGCAATTCTTGTCTGTTTCTTTTAGTGTTAGTTTGCCACTTAGTCTGGAAACTAACTGTTGAGTCCATTATGGCCACGCAGATAACTCAGGCATACTGACAGGAAGTGTTCAGGTGGATGAACAGACTAATGTCATGTGGCAACAGAGCAAGCTCACCTTTGCTAGAAGCATACCTTTATCAGTAAGCATTTATATAGCATGGCTTATATAGTCTTCCTTTTCGTTCACTATACTCTAAATTAATATTAAAGAATGGTTAGGCAAATGAGTGGTTTTAGGTCAGTTTTAGTATTTGAAATCTGTGGATCTCTCAAAAGTGGAGGTGGTTTTGGGAATCTTTGGATGTTTCCATTTTTTCATAGGAGAGACAGAAGTGGTAGCTTCTTGGGTGCTTAACTTATGGAGATGGTTGCCCTCTTTTCCCCCTCCTCTACAGTAAGATAAAGTTTGTCATTTTCCTGACTTTATCTTGGAAAGTAATCTTCTAGTTGTACCAATTAAGATAGAGATCAGAATGATGTGTTTTAAAATTAAATGTGTAACTAATAATTGTACATTTTAATATTCCAAAATGATTAATTTAATATTGGAGTCAAATATAGATAAAATTAATTCAACAAAGAAGAGAAAGCATTCAGAGAAAACAAGTAGATTTTACTTCTGCACTGGAATCTTAGGATTTTATTCGTTTAACAAATGTTAAATTGGGTGTCTTACTGTGTCCAAACTTATGATCTTTCTATACTTCTAAGAGGATGAAACTGTATATTAAAAATACCTTAAAATAAAAAGTTCTGTTTCTGGCAGAATGTAGACAGATCAAAGTTCTCAAAAGTACAAATATTCTCTTTTGTGATGGAACAAAAGATGGAAGAGTTTTATGAAATTAGAAAAGCCAGGCTCGGCGCGGTGGCTCATGCCTGTAATCCTAGCACTGTGGGAGACCGAGGTGAGACCCCGTCTCTACTAAAAAATAAAAAGAAATTACTTGGACAGCTAAAAATATATAGAAAAAATTAGCCGGGCATGGTGGCGCGTGCCTGTAGTCCCAGCTACTTGGGAGGCTGAGGCAG